AAAAAAAAAACGATATCGATTCTTGAATATCGTAATTTTATTTCTCGTTTAGCTGTTCAAGAGCATACACTGCACAGTGCACATATTTCACTATTGTCAACTACGGAAATCAAAGAAAATGACGTAGGTAAACTGTAATGTAGTTCTAATTTTTAAATTTTAAAGAACAGATAATAAATTGTAATAAAAAAAAAAACTTGGTACCTTAAAGTTTACTTTCCGGTGTAATTTTCTCAGTTGTCTGTAGTTGATAGTAGTATAGGTATTATATATTGTGTATAAATTTACTTTTGAACAGTTTAACGATGAATATATTTGTTGGGTATGAATGGACAATTGAACGTGAAATTTAAACGTTGAACAAAGTAAAATTGTAAAATGCAACTAATTCACTCTTTACCGGAATTCCAATCTTTACTGTTTTTTAAATAACCTTCTTGATCTTTTTTTAAACAATTTGATTTTTATGCTTAAAATTAAAATTTGTTTTATTTTTGTATGGTAAATTTATTGTACGTATCGACATATACGTACGCGCTGCAAGTCCAACACATAACACTACTGTAGACTGTATTAGTGATGGACGCTCGAAATTTTGACATTGTGATTTAAGATTTAACCCATTTATGAGATGTTATATACTGACCATAAGGTTTTGGGAGCCTGAAATTTATGAAACTAATTTGAAGCGAGACACATTGTTAAGATATGTTTATGAAATGGTTTATAAAATAAAGACACATTTATAACAAATGAAGGAATATTATTTTATTTTTTACACTGCACAGATGACTATTATTGATATCTAGAAATGAGATCGTACTTTCGAGAAACGCTTTTTGTATTTATTGATTAATTTTACTCTAAGCTTTATGTTAACATTGGTTGACTTGGGGGGGGGACTGAACACCCCAAATAATTTTTTGGATACGCTAGCGTACCCCTACTTCTTTTCTAAAGGGGAACGCATGGAACGGATTGTTATGTAAACTTTTAACTTACCTATATTAATTAAAATTAAACACAAAATTGTATTTGAAAATTTGAATTGTAATTTTATTGTATTGATATTTGCATGATATCTAATTCTAATATGAARTGAACCTTAAGTTACACGGTTACACCTCATAAATTATGATTTATATGTTATGATTCATTGATTCCTTGTTTCTTAATAATTTAAAAGGGATTATAAATGGTGGTGCGGGGTGACCCCCCCACCACCATAGTTATGTAAGCTTTATTAAAATGCTAGGGACGCTACATTTTAAAAGTAGCCAGAGTACCTCTTCTACTTTATTTCCAAGTCAATCACTGGGCGTTAAGAGCCGCATCCCATACATTATATCCATATACTCGGACATTCATATAGTTATTGTTTTTAAGATATATTCCTATATTACCCGGACGATGTTTTAAAATGTGTTTTATCTGATTTTCAAGCTTTACCTATATAGATAGGTATTATAAACAGTGAAAACTTGTACCAAATCCCATCAAAACTGAAACTGCAGCTAGTATTTCAACCGAATTGCAAGATGTCAAATTTTATTTTAGAAATAATTGTCCATCATGAACATGGCATAAAACATAAACTTATGCCTTAAGTGTTACGCTCTAGATGTGGCACTATATCGTTTAAAAACCATTTACCTAATTAATGTTACGATGATATGATCGGTTCCCGCAACGATGGCGTTCAAAAACATATTAAGACGCAGGTTGTAGTGCACTTCGAACAGCATCAGCCATCGTCCTGGTGTACTTGGTTGCCGAATATTGTGCTAACGTCAAAAATAAGAGAAAGATACACTATAGTCTCTATCCAAGCATGCACTTCGATATAGAGACAATCAAATCCATCCTTTTCAAATTGTTATCCATCCTCTGACCTAACATAAATCCTCCGTAGCTTCAAACTCTGCAAAAAGACGATGCTCAAAGAATGGATTAAATGACTTTATCGGTCTATGATGGTTACTTAAATTTTAGTTTTTTGTTTAGGTCGTCACTTACTTAAATAAATATATATATATATATATATATATATCATACAACAACCATAGTTATACAATGTGCTAATAACTGGAAAAAAAATATAATCGTCACGCTGGGGCATTTATATCTCCACTCCCCTTAACGAATCCCATGAGCATAGCATAGTGTATATAGCTTCCGGTCACAATGTTTCCGGAATTGTCAATTTAGAAATCGTGGAAACTGTTCATAAAAAAATGGAAATCTCGTTTAATTGAATACCGTTACTTATCCACGCTGTGACTGACATCTCCATATTCAGAGCTACTATTATAGCACATATTTTTCAAGACTGACCTAAAAGAAAATGTATAATAACTAATAAGAAAACTTGAAAAAATCCACAGTTTGACCCTTAATGCAATTTAATTTGGTTAAGAGATATTGATATAAAGTAAACTATAATTAATAATTTATAGTTTATACCTACGTTACAACTGTGATAATATGGTTTCAAATTTCATAAATTACTATCCACTGGCATTTAACTCAATTGAATATTATATATTATATAATGTTAATTTTCCATACGAATACAAAAGCAGAATGGTAATGATGAAAACCACTCAAAATTGTGGTACACTATAGGTACATAGTATTCCATTCGTGGTCAATTTATACTTTATATTTCATTCTGTTTATTCGCTTATAATAAGTTATAACTTATAAACAACATAAAATATTTGTTCAGTTTTCTATACTTAGGTACCTGCTTAGATGGTAATTCTTATGAAATTATTTTGCCATTTAAGTTATAAATTATAATGAGTAAAGTAATAATAACCATGATGGTTGTTAAAATAAGAAGTGTTTTGCACGCTGCGTTAGATATTTACCATGAGGAAATTATTATAAAATAAAATATTATTAATTAGCTATATGTAATATATTAAAAAGCTATATTACATATTATTATAATTAAATACAATTTTTTTTAATATTTAGATAAAGCAAAGAAAAAGTATGGATATCTATGCGATGTCGGGGACGGTGGTTCCATCAGCGAAGTGTTGGTGGTAATGTTAGAGAGATCTCCCGGTGCCGGTCTAGGTCTTAGTTTGTCCGGTCATAAGGATCGAACAAAAATGGCGGTCATGGTTTGCGGATTAAATCCCAACGGTCCGGCTGCGAAATCCGGATGTTTACGCGTCGGCGACGAAATTTTAGAGGTACGTATCGTAATAAAAGATTAAAAGAATAATTGCTGTGTAAATGTACCTTCTACCTATACATATTAAATTTAAAGGATTTCCATCGGTAAATTTAACGAAMATTTTATTTAACGTCGTAAACTTATATAACACCGATCGACCGATCCACATCCAAATACGCCTCACATTCGGATATCGTATCATAAATATACATTTAAAAAAGTTTCTTTTTTAAAGTCGATTGGAATGTTATAAGATTGAAACATAATGAACTTAATCTGCGTAGTGTTTTGATGCATACATCGTTATAGACGTTATAGTACCCTGCAGACACATAATATATGTATACTACTGTAATAATTGGTCTTTGCGATAATAATATTAATTTATTAACAAAGCCTGTTGCCACTATAACTTTCATATACTTATYTTTTTACCGATAAAAATGCATTATATTAATAGTGAGTAATGACTATATATATACAGTATAGAATTACATAATTTGCCCAGTTATAAAATAATATAGAAGTAAAAGAAAATATTATAATAGTTTTACTTGTTTTAAAAACACGAAAATGTATTATCTGATTAAACTTTTTGGTAAACTATTATTTTGCATAATTTAGGYAACATAATAACAAATTAAATATCTCTAACACGCATGACATGTTGTCACAGGGGAGTATAAGAGAACGGCATTCCTGAACTCATTATGGTTTTAATATAATGTCTTTATAATTGCGGTSTAAATGGAGTAGTGGAAGCATATAAAAAGTACTAGATAGTCAGAAAACTTTTCCCCGGGGCACGTAGGTTTTGTAAAAAAAGTTTGTGAATTATAGACATCGAAAAATCGATTGATTTAAAGCACATCTATGAAAATATTAATCGTTTAAATATGTTATTTATATATRATGTCGCCCGTTAAAAGTGTGTAAGTACATATTGTGTTAGCATAAAAACATAATATTATCCTAAAAGTGTGTTCTTATTCTAGTAGGTATAGATTTGAATATTTTACATATTATGCGTAGGTGTTTAATTATATTCACAGTTTTTAAAAACTGTATGATTTTAATATGTCATCCTTAATATTATACTATAGATACCTAAGTAATAATTTAATACACTAGGTAGTTTTAACTACTTTTAAGTAGTACAATATAATATAGGTACATCAATAAAGGATATTATGTTTAAAAAAAAAAAACAAACATTAATCACACCTCATTGATTTCGGGTACTGGATGTGCATCTTAATATAGCCATTCTTAATTAAAAATATTTTTATCGGTAACGATGTAACGTATTTTTGTACCGCAAAAAATACCTCATTCTCAACAACCGTGTATAGGTATTGCACTTATACAACGTATAATAAATAAATCCACGATATAAATTTAGTTAATATATTTATACCTACCCGAAAAATCAATTTATGAATGGCGTTTTTTCAATAACAATAGCATCGTGTCGTCACGTATTTTTGGATGTATATATATTATATTATGTATAGTATAGGATATCTTATGCATGCGTATGTATATATAATTATATATAGGTATATAATATATTATATATATTATACGCATAATATTTTATATAAGTATATCGTCTTCTCGTCGCTTATCATGCACATTCGATGTATATATTTATAGATTATATGATGCATGTACGTGCAGTCTGTATGTGTATATATATTATACACACACAATATTATATTATGCGCAGGGTAACGCGAAAATCCTAAGGCCAAATTGAAATCTGATACGGTCTGTTATGATATGATAAAATATTATCGTCGGTATATAATATAATAATAATACGCGTAATGCGATTGGACCTTTGTCGCCTCTATTTATCTCTATATATATATATATACACGACGGGCATATACAGCCTCGATATGCCCGCGAGCATAATATATATAAATCATGCCAGTTGTATAGCCATCGTTACACCCAACGGGGGGTAGCGTTCGTATATAGAATTGTACGTGCGCGCACACAACCGGGATGTATATACAAACACTTAAGTAAACTTACCGCAACGGCGGTCGGTGATGTTTATTCTGTATATATACAAGGTGTAATAGATAGAACTGACTTTTGGAGTTACTTTTATTCAAATTAATATTTTTGTTCATAAAGCGACTCTAGCGCTGCATATATAATACATTTATTTATGTTTATTTTTTAGAACTGAAAATAAAAAAATTTAAATTTAATACAAATTTTTTTGGATAAATTCAAAATAGCCTATTTGCGAATCTGATTATAAGAACAACTTTGATGGTAAAAAGATTTATCTAAGTCAATTAGTTTATTTTTAGCATTTTTTTAAAATTCAATATTTTTTTGGTTAAATTATTTTGAAACGTAATAGCTAGAGGTCGGATGTATATTCTCTTAAAATCCTTAAATATGATGTTTTTATGTTGCATAAATTAGGCATTATATTCTCTTAATATTCTTTTAATATTAAAAAAAAATTCAGTTTAAATTTATTTTAGCTAACGAAATAACCTACGTGGTATCGCAATCGATAAGGAATACCTGGAGATTAATTTTTATTAAAACCCATAAATTAATTATTTACAAACAGAATTATTTTGTGAACATTATACCTATCAAAGTGCTGATATACGTGAAATATATTCATTATATGCCGATATTACAAAAATATTCTCAAATATTCTCTAACGTGTTAAATATTCTCTAACCCATAAAATATGCTTTTTTACGCAAARTACATTTATTCCTATGAATTCTGTGTTTCATGAATCGTAAAGATTTCTCACTCCCATTTAACTGYATTGACTAGAAACAAATATGTAAAATCRTAAAAATCCGACCTCTAGTAATAATAGCTATTTTAAAAATATAATTTTTGAGAATTTACCGACATGAATATATTTCTTAAATTATTTAATTAGCATATGATACTAACAATTTTTTGTCATACGTTTAATTAGCACAATTTTTTTTTTTGGTCAGGTGTTTCTGTTACACCCTGTATATACCTATATAATATATTATATACTCTTCGTGGACCAATCGGCGTGATACCTGTYATAACCCAATAATAAAAAATCATCCCTTACGTTTGCGCGTCGAAAGTCGAAACCGCGAGACCGTCTTAGGACTGCKTAGTTTTTTGTGGTGGTTGTCACGAGATTTTTTACTGCARTTACGCAGCGACAGTCTCGTCGACAACAGCCTGCTGCAAGAACGTAGAGGTAGAAACTCGTGCCTGGGTGTAATACTTTAGGRTCCAAACTATTTTCGACCATTTATCATTAACTTTGTAATGATAAGAGTTAATTCTTCCCGCCGCGTTCATCAAATTCTTAAATATTAATTTTTATTAAACTGCTTTTATTTTTAATTTAAAAAAGTTGAGTAGTCCCAAATTTTCTGGTCCTCTTGGAGTTTCAGGACCCGCGCGTGAGGAATTACCCCTTCCCCTCTTTCTTAAGGCCTACGTGCCTGCGCAAATTTATATACTACTTATATTATTATAAATGCACAATATAATATTCGTGTGTGACGTATGTGCAGCGTTTGTGTGTACCTATATATGCATTAAATCGTTCGATCTTAATTTTTCTGTAATTCACATAGAATTTATATGACTATTTGAGTTTTAATTCTGTCAAAAATAAAAATCTAATCACCTRTTAGAATAATGCCAAATAATTTGTACCTGTAGTGTTGTTATTCTTCATAGAGTAATAGTGCAGTACTCTATGTTATCCATATGTCTTTGCCGAAATTGATAAAAGACTCGCTTGCTGTGAATATATAAATAACTTTAGTTTAATAAATTTACATTTATACTTACACAGTTACCAGTAAACCAACCATCGATTTCTTATTTTATAATTCTTTGTGTATAAGTATTAATTTATTATTCAAGTTTGTATATATGTGTACATTTTATGTTTACAAATAATGCTTTTATAAAAACTAATGCTCGATAGCTGTGATTGCATAATCTTATAACGAAATTCAAATTTGAAAAACTATTGATTTAAATGTATCGTAAATATCAATTATCAATGCAAGAACCTGATTATTTAATGTAGACAGTACCTATTTATATTATTGTTTATTATTTAGCTGTATATTATATTAAACAGTGTAATAAGTTAATTAAAAAATGGCAAACCATACGATTTCAATGTTCTGTTTTCTAGCAATGCAATGCCTATCGTATTTTACTTTGGTAATAGCCTTATAGCAGGTTATGCGCAATTCTGTGGGATTATGGGTTTAGGTGGACTTTCATTTGGTGTGTTGAAATTCAAACAATCCTGCAGTGAGAGCGCCAGTTTAGGCTTTAAGCTTTTATATTAAAAGAACACTCCCTATTTTTATTTCGAACACAAAATTACTATTTTCTTCATCAATTCTTCTACGTGTGTTTGTTGTGACAAAATAAAATATATATAGTTGTATGTATTTATTATACATATTATACAGCCGATGGGCACAATAATAGTAAAATACAAAGCGGTGACAGCAACCATTATCTGCACTACACATATTATTATATATTATATTGCCTCTTATTCCAACCAAAATCGAAACTACAATAAATTTATCGAACAGTAACAACGCGTAGCTGTCCTGCTAGAGCCTWTATATATACATGTGCAATGCCAATATAAAATGTATGCATCCCTACATACGTTTACACCGTGTGTTTGTATACGTACAAAAAAGTTATATCGTACGTGTATATTAATATAGCCACGTTTACCATATATATAGCTACCCTTTAGCGCGCTCATAACTTATTCATGGACACACAACTCCCCCAAGGCTTTGATATTCATCCGGTGACGAGGGATACAGGTGCAGGCAGGATAGAGTATAATATATAAATGGGAGATGGTTTTAATTTAAAATGCATCACGTTATATTGGCTCAAAATCTTCCGCGACTCGTAGGGAGAGGGGTGGATTTTTATTTGTTTAAACGCAGCGAAACCAATTTTATTTGTTTATGGTTTCTTATGTCATTGGTTTTAAATAGATCTAGGGCACGAGTGATGTATGTAATATATTTTAATGGCTGTAGGTATATACGGTATACAATATTCATACATAATATATAATATTATACACTATATATTATAATAATAAATATTTTTACTATGGCCGTAAAATATAAAAATAATAAAAGGAGAAGAGCCGTCTGCTAAAGTTTGTTCACCGTGATACTGAAATATTTATAATATGCGAACATTTGTTGATGAAAATGGCTTTTTTTTTGTCATTACAAAAAAGGGTCCGGAAAAAAGCTGACACACGCAGCCATGATATGTAGAGAACAATTTTGCAAGTTATGGTATGTATATAAATGGAAGTGGGAGTGGATTCGGAGTTCGGACAGAAACAGTTGACCTATATTTTGTTTCCCGTATAGGCCAAAAGGTCAGAGGTATATAATATGATTTTTCACTATTGTACCTATAGGACATGCTCCTTTTATAAAAACACATTTTCAATATAACAGAATTAATAGTATAGGTAATATATTTAACGCTGTATAGGTATGTCGCGTCGTACGTGTTCTACATATTACGCAACTTTATGCATTTTTTTTTTAGGACGTCTTATATTCACCGGATTATATCATTATTGCTTATTTTCTATTATGTTATACACATTAATATTTAAAATTATGAATATCACGTAATTACGTTTTTTTCTTTGTCGGATGGATTATTTAGATAAGATTAATATATCATGCACACACACATAATATATATTTTTATGTAAGGAAATGACATACATGAGGAGACTTTTAATTTTACAAACTTTGGTCACTTTTAAATACATAAAACAATTCCTTAAATATCCATTAAACAATGCGTTTCTTCTAAAACCACATATATTGTTTATAAAATTGCATTATATATTAATTGCAGTAGAATATTCCAAAAATTAATTGCAGTATAGGCTATTATAGCACACTGTGCAATATTACTGGTTGTAGGTACCCATCATAAAATCTAAATAATAAGTGAACATTACTTTTTTATTAAATTTATTCACTGGCATAAAACCGCAGCAGTAGTTTAAGAATAAATATAATCTCTAAACAAAATATCAATTTGAATACCTATTTAATTTTAGTTTGAAACCTAAAACGTTAGGTTAAGTTTCAAAATTGTTTTAACATCTAGCAGAGTAGTAGCTACGTTAGTTCACTTTTATTATTAAATGACAAATATACAGGACAATCCTATGGACACAAAAAACTAGACAATTTAATCCAGACAATTGTATTTTCGAAAAAAATATTCGCTTTGAAGTTCTATTTTAACACTGCMGTGTTTTATAGTGTATATTAACCTATTTCGGAGTAATGTTACACAATTCTACAGAGTGTATTCATTGCCACTTCACACGTTTTATCTATACTTTAAATGGCTTTAAATAAAAAACAACGACTATTAACAAATGATTTATATAAAAATATTTAATTAAATTATATTGAAATAGTTTAAATTGAATATTCTACTTCCGATCAGAAAATAAAAATTACGATTAGTTTTTGCATTTAAAAAGTAATACTAACTTTAAAAGTCATTTTGATTTTAATTCATAACAAATTATATATACATTTTTTTTTATATGTGTATAAAATTATAATTTATAAATATTGTAGTTGTACTTATACCTACAATTACATAATTCAATTTTTTAAAATTCAAAAACAGTCTAGAACAATGATTGGTCCATGTTTATCTGTATTTGGGCACATTACATATATAGGTAAATAAGTATAAATTATAAACATTTGAAATAGATCATATTTTATATTATACCTATTTTATTATAATAATTATAATTAGTACTACTTATATCAAACTATTGCTTAGATTATTACAATCAATTTTAATTTATTCGGTTGCCGATCACATTATTAAAATAATTATAAATGTAATTTACATTTCAAAAACGCGGACAATTTGGATAACAATTCACTAATATTGAAAATATGATGTACTTCTAGAGCCTACTTATTTATTAAATAGTATGTTACCCACAATTGTATAGGATTGTATAGGATTAATTATCATTGTTCAACAACCTATATTATAATTTATATTATATACAGACCGTAAAAATATTCATAAATTCAAAGTAAAATAATTTAAAATCCCATATTTTATAATGTTTAAAATTAGTTTCGTCTTAAAATAATATCGGTGTATTTCATTATGTATAATATTACAAGTACTTAAAATTCAAAAAACCTCTGTGACATACGTATAGGATAAGTTGTTTACAATTTACAAGACTAATGTATTAACTATTTTGTATTATTTATTACAAAGTCTCTTATTATCTTTTAATTATTTCGTAAAAATCAAATGATTCATGCATAAATTATCTGTCAATTAAATTTTATTTGAATGGAAATTTCTTACAGTATATAATAACAATACTGCAGMACTTTTGACTTTTTAAATCCTAGTTGTTAATTATATAATATTTTAAACACGAGGTACTACGCATTACATTTACATTTATAGTATCTACTCAATTACACTTTAGGAATGAGTTTTATAATTTATTTTAATGTTTTTATTTTGTGCTTATAATATACCTACTATTAAACACATTAGGTATATATAATTTATATAAAAACATAAAATTAATCATGTAAAAAAAATTAGACTTCGAACGTCATATCTTAAGTTTGTCTGTGTTTTTTCTAAATACGATAGGTTTCTATAATATAGTTTATGATTAAAGTCTTAATTAAATACAATTGAATACACAGATAATAATATTTTTTACATCATTAGACTTATTGTAAACAATTATAGATCATGTTTGTATAAATACAATAAATACATATTGTTATAATACCATCGATATTCTATCTACCTAAACTGTTCTTAAACCTATTATGCTATTTATTGTTATTAAATATTATCATTATAATTTAATTATAATATATAGTTTCTGGTGATTAATTAGGTTACTGTTACTCCATAATATCATTACATGGAAATAGAAATAAATAATATCAAAAAATTATTAGCTAGTATAGATACTGTTTTAATCGAGCTCTATTTATCATTCATTTAATATTGCTGTCAAGTGAATAGTTATAATAAACCATTTGGTGTATTATCTTCGTCAATCTGACCTGACTTAGCCAATGTTGTTCAATACTATATCATGTATTACTGTCCGGATTATTTAGTTTATTGTAATTCATAATAATTATTACGGAGTATGTCATCACTTCATGTGTCATTTCTCTATTTAAACTCAGCTAATTGTGGTTATACTTATAATTATTACTTCATTACATTATTTCTGCAATTTCATATTAAATAATTTAAATTTACTATATTTATTTTCACGTTATTAATTATATTATATTATAATTCTATATACATTTTCAAAATGAATCTTTTTTTATCTTAAATTCTCTAAACGTTCCTACAAATAGAGAGAGAGAGAGAGAGAGAGAGAGAGAGACTATTTCTTGGATATTAAAGTGCCATTATCATAGATTAACTATAATTTTTATATTTTCATTTACATTACAAATTAATATACCTAGTTAATAGCCTAAACATTGATTGTTATATTATTGATATTCATTTCATGGGAATTTGAAARATTTTATGAGAAAAAATATAACCAGGCCCGTATTAAGACATAAGCAGTGTAAGCTACTACCTATACAAAACCGTGATTGGCCACAGATTTAAAGGAACCAATCGCTATGTATTTTTTCAATACAAAATGCAAAATATCTTTTATTTTATTTTTTTTAGATTTTATCTGTTCCGATAACCGTGTAGCTTTCATATTTGTCGTTTATAATTGTTTATATTATTTGGAAATCTGGCTTTAAATCTATATAATATACTTACATAGTTACATGGTATATGTCGGTACATAATTATTACCCATCTATAATGGATTCAAAAAGTGTTAAGTTGTCAAAGATAATTTTTGGTATGCACTCAAATATAAATCAATAAGTAATGATCATTATATTAGAATARTGGTGCGTATTACTGTAGTGTTATATAGTATAAATAGTATAATACATGGGAAACGGACATTTGACACTCGATGACAATTGGCCATACATTTGGCAGAACAATTGACGTCTGTACAATGGACATTCGACACCAAAAATTATGGGTAAAAATACAAATAACTTTTTAAGGTACTTTGAAATTATTTGTACCTAATAATATTGTCTTTCATAAAATACAAAGAACACTCAATTTCTACTTGACAACTATCGGCATTATGCGAATATTTCGAAATGCGTATAACTAAAATATTCTAATATTTATTTGTGYTCTGCTATGACACTTGTACTGCAGCCTTTGCCACGTTTATTTTTCTGTTCAAYGAATATCAAATACCAATATAATGTAAGTTTCATATTTTTTTTAACATAAATATAATTGGCATAATAAGTTTTAGAATTATTTATAAAACTAAAATTCTGCTATTTCAAGGTACATTTTATATATTGCATAGTCACTCAATATAATAACTTAACAATTTATCTAAAACAATTACTACCTATATATATTTTGGTGAGCGGCGGATCAAATGTCCTTTTATCATGGGTATTAAACGGCTCTTACATTAAATAACCAAATGTGTGAAAAATGTTTTAATTCCGAAATAGGGCTGGTGACATTATTTATAAAATAGCACAAATATTATGGGAATCCATTTTTTTACAATTAATTTTATACCATACGTTATTTATGGTATATAAAGTATAGTACAAAAAGTATTAGTGGATAGTTTATAATTTCATCAATGTTATTCGACTTGTGATTGGCGTCCCCTCTGACCGTACTACACGCAAAAAATAAATGCACGTAGCTGCTATACATAATTTATTTATGTTTTTAAGTAACGAATCTATCAAATATCCTTATTAACCTAATGGATTAAAAACTTTTGAAAGTTGAGAATAACATTTCCCTTTTTTGTTTAGGTTAATGGAGTAGTTTTACACGGAAGATGTCACCTAAATGCCTCAGCYATAATCAAAGGTATACCGGGACCAATATACAAAATAATTGTGTTAAGGTAAACTCTTATTTTTATATTATTTTACGTAGTTTTCRTTTATATAGAAAATTTTTTAATGGATTACATTTTTCCAACACCATCCACTCACGTCTAGACCACTTAATGATTTAAGTTGGACATTTTTCTACCTAATATTTTAAACTAATCACTAAATGTGTCCTGCAGGAGACCTACGGCCCTGGACGAATTAGCCGTGCGACCGATCACTCAGTTTCCTATTACACTCGATGACGAGGTTAGTGATTACTGAATATACTAGTTTTATAGAATTTTCGTCTTTTATTTCATTGCAATTAAAAATAATGGATTTTTTTGGCAGACGCCAGAGGAGAAGTATGCCAACTACAAAGGTCTACGGGTCGTTACTATGAAGAARGTAAATATTTCTGTTTTGACGCTTTCTATAAAAATATATTTTATTTTATACCTATAATCGATATAAACWCTATAATCTTGTAAAATATAAAATTACACTCCTGTATAAAATAATTATGGGCACTTGGCTCTTATTCCTGTATATTTTAGACCTATATCATTTGAATAGGTATATTATACAATTTGTGAAATTGATAAAAAAAAACCTCCCGAGTTTTGTTCACACCAACACAGCATTTAATTTGTCCCATATATACAAACCATAAGATTATATATTTAATACCTATATATAAATATGATACATATTACATATATATATATATATATATATATATAGGTATTATATATCAATTATGTATTTGTATATAATAAACACGCTCAAACATTTATCACAGGATTAATCACTTATATATAATGTTGTGTAGTACAGTTGATTTGATATGTTTCCTATAGCCCTGTATCAGTTTTACATACGAAGGCCAAATCACAAATTCACCCACACATCAGGTAAAAGAACACAGCACACTGGATCGTTGAATGATGGTTTTTTTTCTGCGTATAATTTGTTTTGTTTATTATTATTTTTGTTTATTCATATTATTATATCATATAATAATCGTTGTGTTATAAAAAAATGTAACCCATATCGAACGYAGGAGGGCAAACCATACTGAAAAAATAAAATGAAAAATAAGTACGAAGTCTGATATTATCATTTACCTAGTTATTGCAGAATGCAATTTCTTAATTTGATTCGATGATAATTTCTTCATACATTATTGAAATTGATTGGCGCAACTAGTGATGGTATTTAGGGGGGGGGGGTTAGAATTTATTATTTGTTTGTCGTTTTTATAACACCGATTTTATTTTAAAAAAGGTACTCGTTTAACATTTTCCAACACCACAATATAGAGTGGATTTTACCTTTAATAATCGATTTTAGCCTATCTATTTCCTACTTTTCATAAATTATATTTTGTATTTTTCATTTCGTCACTAAATAATTCAAGCAAATTCTAATTTGTTAGTAGGTACCTATATATATTTGTTATTTTGGCTAAAATAACAGTTATAAAATGCTATTTAATTTATTTAGGTGCCTATTTTTTTTATAAAAGTATTTATTTTTCAATAGTTATTATAGCTACGTATATGTTTATTTTATATAGATATTCATTAATTCAGTAAATTTGATGTGTTACATTCTGAGCAGAGTTGAGTGTATTTGCTTAACAATTATGTAGTGTATTTATAGCGTGTTTTCCTGTAACTTTCATAAATTAAATCGGATTGTAGTGATACTACCAYATACTTTTATCACGAATCGATGGTCGATTATCGAACTTTTTATTACCGGATGTTTCCTGGTAAAATTTAAATATTTTATCAACTACAAATATTTACAAATTAGCATGAATGCATTTAAAAACAATATAAATTAAAATGTATTAAAACTATTTTAATAATAACATATTTAAAACATAAGTACTTAATTAATAGTTACTTAATGGTTTATAGTTTTTATTTTACACGTATTGTACCTATATAACTACATTCTACATTGAATATTCATAAAATTATGGCAATAAATTTGTTAAGACTAAAGACTGAATTGTTTAACTAGGAGTTTAAAATATCAGTACCTATTAAAAATTAAATTAAATAGAATGTAAAGATATAATTATTTTATTCGGTGGATTTTAAAAATTCAAAAAAATAAGCTTTTTTTCATTTTCAGCAACAAAAATGTTAACTAGTCACTAAAGTTTATTTACTAATTATTTACTCTTTATAAACATTTAAATGAGATACAAAATAAAAAAGTTCTATTATTTCCGCATTATGAAGTACACATTGATTATTTTATTACAAATCCTAATTATTATAGTTAGTGTTATAGATTTCTATAGTTTAGAAAACGTAGAAAAAAAAAGCTTAATACTTTTTGTTTTGGAACAAGCCTGCAAACCTGGGTACCTACTTAAATTAAACTGGGGGTGATTATAGTTACCCAGGGCACTATATCATTGACATAAAATAATTGCATTCGTGATTTTATCTATTAGTTCTATCTCAGTGCATCTGCGTAGGTATACATAATATCTGATGTAACTATTTACTAWAATGGGAACAATAAGACGTATTATTCATCATTCATGTATGAAATAAGTGAGATTATAATATTACGATGTATTGTATTTACCTCTACGGAGCGTATCTTCGTTATCATAACAATACTTYAGCACTCAAAGAGTTTGCCCTCCTGCCAATTATATAATATCTATGTAGAATATAATAATATACAAAGTGTAAACATTGGCCGTTATATTTTCGTTTTGCATGCGTTTTATACTATTAAAAATATACGTTTAATATATAATACATTTTATAATATTATACATGAATGACATCTGACCACTGCTGCGAGTGTTTTAATTTTGAACATATAATATAGAGTTTTGACACACTTATATTATAATATAATACCGTATGTAGTATATGTATTTCATTTAAAAAAACTTACTTTAATAAAATAGCAATAATGTTTTGTATTTTGATTGCAGAGTCCTCATGGTCTGGGCATAATGATTTTGGAAGGAAAACATGCGGAACTCGGCACGGGAATATTCATATCCGATATTCAAGAAGGAAGCCCAGCTGAACAGGTGAATATTATGATGTGGTTATTTTAGACAAACGCAGAGTCATATTTTTGTGTGCGTTTTTCTGCAACATTTTATTATGATTAATAATAATAGTAAGAGAATAAACGATGTATAGTTCCACGTAATTTCAGCTGTGCAAATATTTGCCACAAAAAAAAAAAAAATATATGGGTTTATCTACCGACGTGCATAACAGTATTATACAATTTATTTTATAAACGTCCTTACGCCAAACATGTCTATACTTCCTTTACAGGCGGGTCTCACGGTTGGCGATCTGATTTTGGCTGTGAATAAAGACACACTTCTGGGGAGTACGTACGATTCGGTGAGTGATGATAATAATTAGCTGGTAACAACATTATAACGACACGCATGTACCTATATGTACAGAAACTATCTAATTTATATAGCAAAAACAAATTCAGACCTCGAATTTTTACCTTGATAGTCAYGATTTTGCAGGCGTCATCGTTGCTGAAGAAGACCGAGGGTGTCGTAACGTTGGTGGTATGTAACCCTCGCAAAGACGAAAACGTCTCGCCTGCGGACCAGAAAACTGCCGATAAACCTAAACAACCGGAAAAGCCGAGTAAGTCGTTGSCTATTCGATACTCGAAAATATATAATATTTCGTTTTATTTTTGTTCCGTCTTGTTTTTGTTATATTAAGCTATATAATATTATTTATTTAATTTTTGCTGCATGATTATCTACCTATACGTTCTTGCATATATACGTTTGCATGGATCGTTGTTCTTACCTAATTATTTTTCTCTGTGAGTAACTTTTTAAAAATTAACCAACAATAATACTATTGTACCGTTGTCGACGTGTATACGATTAGTATTAATAAAACCATTTAAAATCTTAGAATCTCAATCGCCCGTTTGTGTGGACCATTCAGTCGAACCGCCACCAGATCCTGCGACCGCCCCAATAAAACCAGGTATCGAATCGACAATCGAAATCAACAAGGACAAAGTCGGCTTGGGTCTCAGCATAGTAGGCGGATCTGATACATTACTGGTAATAATAACCATTAACTATTATGCCTTATGCCTATAACAATAATAATAATAATAATAATAATGGTAATTATCATTACATACAATGCATACCTATATAGATTACATAACATTATGGCCATAAATCTATATAGTAATAAATAAAACATTTGCGTGCTTTAAAACAAATATTTAAATCGCGTGTTGTCGTATCACTGCGATCTGCTGCTATTGTGTAGTCTCGCCCAGCATTAAAATATTTCCTAACTATTGTAAAAATATTTTCAGGAAAATATTATAGTTGTTAAAAATATACTTAAAAAAAGTTGCGTAAATAAT